TGAAGTCCTCTTAGACAACCTGGCAGGGGCCAAGTCAGTAAATTAGGTTCATCACCCTGGATGTTACAGAAGATTTTTATTCCACATTTGCAGATCTTTTCAAGCTCCTTCATCAGCCCCTTGCTGGCTGTCATCTTAGGTTTGGTGTTTCCGTCTTGGGTCTTGTGTTTTTTTTCCCTTCCTTAGTTAAGTCTGATTGGTGGTGGGTTTTTTTTTTGTTTGTTTTGTTTTTTTTTTTTACAAAGTTGTCTGCTATAGGATATTTAAACTTTACTATCAAATAATTAGGCCTGCTAAAGCAACACCAGTCTTATTTTTCTAATTGTTGTGTAGTCTGTAAATTTGGAAATCTTATGCATAATTGCTCTAGTAATATCATTTACCACAATAGTTTTTCTTTCTTTTTTCTTTTTGCTACAGTAGTATTTTTAACAAAAAATAAGTCATAGATTTTTGTGTTCGTGGTATAATGGGAAGGACAGGGTGTGATATTTGAAATTAGAGAACTATTTAGAATCCTAATTCTGACATTATGGCTTTCAACAAGCTTCATAACCTCCGTGAATGTGAGTTTCATCATAGTAAAAGATGTAATAATGGTATTATTTCATCATTGCTATATAAAACAGAGACAGTCAATGCCTTTTAATATATTTTGTACTAAAGTAGGCATTCATAAATAGTGTTGCTTTTTTGTTATTGTTGTTACTATGATCTTGGTTTTTGAGAGAGGATCTCACTAGGTAGTTCAGGGTGGTCTCAAACTCACTGTTTGGCCCAGGCTGACCCCAAATTCTCAGAGATCTTCCTGGCTCGGCCTACAGATTATAGGCCCAGCCTTTAAAAAATTATAGTCATCATAACTAGCAGTATTAACTAATATTATTGTAAAGATGTAGGTAGAATTTCCATATTCAACTTCAAAAACTGTTTTCTGCTTCAATGTAAGACAGTCCCTAGATCCTTTTCCATTGTAGTGATAGCTAGTTGTGGAGGATTCTGATATGTAAATAGACTGATGATACATAGATTTTTGGTTTTGGCCATTTGATTGTCATATGGGATCCATTTGTTCATTGTGCTGGCAACATTTGAGAATTGGTTATAGCCAGGATGGTGGTATATGTCTGTCATCTCAGCTTTTGGGAGACTTGAGGCATAAGGGTTGTTGTGAGTTTAACCTGGTACTATATAGCAAGGCTCTTGTCTCAAAAACCAAACAAAAAGGTATTGGCTTTTTCTTTAATGCATTTAGTACAGGGGATACAGGGTCTACAGGGTCTCACTACATAGATTGGATTTGTGGTAATCCTGTTTTCAGCCTCCCAAAGCACTGGGATTACAGGCTTGTGTCGCCATGCCCGCCCAGTCTCAATCGCCCTGCCGGGTCTCAATCAACATCACCCCGGGGGTAGGGCTGGTATGGCACAGCATGACAGGGATCAACCCTGGCACTTTGCCTGCCTAAGGTTATTGATATTGGTGTTAAAGTTAAGGTGATATTTGATGAATTTAATGAGTTCTGCCTTAATTTGTAACTGTATCTAACTTTTAAGTGTCTGGATTACTAAGTGTCATATATGAGGGTTTTGGTTTTTTGTTTTTTTTTTTTTTTAAGTTTAAATGATACAAAGTTTTTTTTAGGTCAGAGAACCTTTCCTAAATAGAATATTTTTGCTATTCTAGCAAATAAAATGTAAGAGCAAAGTTTCATGTGGAAGTTAATAATAACATTTAGAAGTTATTTTTCTCATTTGATTGTATGAAACGTGTTAAACTATAGCAGTGGAAAAATTAAAATTCAATGAATGAATCTTTTTTTTAGTTTAAAATGCTTTATTTTTATTTTTATTGAGAAAAAATATGAATGAGAATTTCACAGCTGATTAATAGGACAGTTTTGATAATCAGTACACTGTACATTGTTATCTTCTTAGTGGTTATCCATAGTACAAGAAGCAGACAGGATGTTCTGTCCAAACATTGTTAGTACACCTCTTAAATGAATGAATCTTAAAGATATTAGGCTAAGTGAGGTTAGCCAGTCACAAAAAGAGAAATGCTGTTTTTACCTGGTTGGAATAATCAAATTAATGGAGAAGAAAGTAACATAGTAGCTGCCAGAGGCTAAAAATGGAAAAATGGGAAATCAAAATTTAATAGAGCTTCTTTCTGAGGAAGAATGCTGTGACTAGGTCAGTTAAACTAGATATTTAAGATAGTAAATTTTGTTTATACGTATTCTATCACAACTAAAAAACTTATTCAAAATAGTAGGTAATAAGATATAATAAAGTAAATATTGAAATATTCTGTGTCACTTCTCTGCTACAGATATGATTGTCTTATTTGGTGAGTTTTAGAGGGAGGACCAGGTGCTTAAATGGAGTATGATTGATAAGTAAAAGAAAGAGAAGAGAGGGAAGGAGAAGAAGACAGACAGAGAGAATAACACTAATACTTTTAAATGCTAAAGCTGAAACACAAGGCAGGATTAGGCATAGTGTAATATGAAAGCTTAAAAGAACAGGCGAAATGTATGATCAGTGAAACACTTTCTAAGGCTCACAGGTCTACTTTTTTATGTGACCAGACAACATCATTGAGTTTGGATCATGATTGTTACTCAAAAGTAACAGTTCTCTTTAGAAGATTCAAAGTTTAAAAAAGTAGTTTATGGGCTGAAGAGATAGCTTGGCGGTCTAAGTGCCTGCTTGGCAAGTGCAAGGATCCAGGTTTGATCCTCAGTACTGTATGCCATGCCAGGCTCACCATGCCGGCTACCAAAACTGGCCTTGGTGTCCCACGCCTGTAATCCCAGCACTGGGGAGGCTGAGACAGGAGGATCATTATTAGTTCAAACTGTATAGTGAGACACTGCACCAAATAAATAAATAAAAGAAATTTTAAAGATGTAGTTTATATTATTTTTCACTATCTGAAAAAAAAATTTAAATGTTTTACAGAGCATGGAATATCCATAATATCTCTATCATTAAAGGTAGAACATGTATAATGTTTTTTTTTTTTTTTGAGGGTGTCTTGTTATATAGATTTTTTACAAGATATTTGTTTTTTTAAAAATTTTTTTTAAATTTATTTATTTTTATTTATTACATTTATTTATTGTGTTTGTGTGTGGCCAGCTCAGCCCACCAGGGGGTGGGGCTGGCTGGCATGTGGTGCTGGGGGATCGAACCGCGGTCCCTGTGCTTTGCCAAGCTTGTTTCAAGTAGGTGCTTTAGACCACTGAGCCATCTCTCCAGCCCCTTTACAAGGTATTTGTAATTGTCAGCTTCTCACTTTTATGAAATAACAACTGAGGCTAAATAAGTTTTCGCACCTATATTTTAAGTTACATAAACCTACTAGTTTAAGTCTCTGAAAATTTTATGTTACATACAAAATAAATACATGTAGATTAAGTGTTCCTTATACAGGGAACTTTGGTCTGGTTTTGGGGCAGTAGAGATTAACTGCAGCCTTTGGCCCACCCTGAACTCCAACTTGTGAATGAAATTGGAGAGGCCAGACATGTGGTTAATTTGGTAAATCACTCTGCCATTAGAAATGGAAAGGGAAGTGAGTAGGATTGCCTTATCTAGTGGTTTTATTTGTTATTGCTCTTTGAGACAGTGTCTCACTATTTAGCCTAACTGGCCTTGAACTCACTGAACCCCAGGCTGGCTTCCCATAGTGCATGATCTTCATGCCTCCAGGCTTGTGCCACTATGTCCCGCTGTATCTAGCAGTTTTAAACTTGTCTTTAGGTTTTAGAGTTCGTGTGTGTGTGTGTGTGTGTGTGTGTGTGTGTGTGTGTGTTGGGGGTTAGAGATGGTATTGAGGAGAGGAGTGGGTTAAAGAAAAGAGGTATGTTCACTCAGTCTTCTTTTAAAAGTGCCTCTGCTTTTGTTTCATATGTTGAGCTTCCCTGAAGGTTTCATTTTAGGAAATAGTTCAGTAGCTTAAAAGAAAAATAAAATTCATAAACTACTGATCTAAGTGATATAATCCTTAAGTTTCCCTTAGAAAACTAATCATTTGTGAGATTATTATCTTACCCCCAGTATCACTGTTCCATAGGCCTGAGAACCTATCATACCTTCCCTTATCTTTTTTTTTTTTTTTTTTTTCTGGAGGAGCTGGGGATTGAACTCAGGCCCTTGCACTGCCAGGGAAGCACTTACTCCACTGAGCCATCTCCCCGGCCCCTACCTTCCCTTATCTCATTGACTCACTTTCTTAAACATCATATTTCAAAATCAAGATTTATAATCTTTATGAAGATATCAGGGAACGCTGCTTAATTTCACATTTAACAAAATCTGTGTCCAAATACATTTCAGCATTGTCTGGTAAAAGTATTAGGTCTCCAAACAGTTTTATTGATTGATTTCGTTTGGATGCATAATATATCAATTTTTTTTTTGTTGATGTTTTTTTTTTTTTTTTGTTTTGTTTTTTTTGTTTTTTTTTTTTTTTTTTTTTTTTTTTTTTTTTTACTTCATTAATCTTGGGCTGGATGTGTTTAATAGGTCAAATAGATGATCAAATGACATCAAACGTGTAAATTTGGGCCTGGCGAGATAGCTCAGTAGAATAAGCACTTGCCTGGCAAGCACAGAGTCCTGAGTTCAGTCCCTGGTACCGCAAAACAAACAAACAAACAAAAAACACATGTCATTTGAAGAATCTAGTGCACTATGAATATCCTTTCAGAGCTCTGGCTTAATGACATTTAATTTCTTAAATAGTAGTGTAACCAAAAAATAGCATTCTGGCTTGTTCCTTTCAGGAAGATTTTTCAGTATGTCTTCTGTAGATAAATTTTAAAGAGATTTGAGGCTCTGTAGGACTTTTGGTAGAATAACTTGAGATCTGATAATATATATATATATATA